GCCCGGCTGGGTAACGTCTTCAGTGCTAAAATGGGAGGGGGTTTGCTCTCTATTTATGTGCTGTGGCCTGCCTCGGCAGTGCTGGTGGGGGTGGGGGTTTTGTGTTGCTCCTCTGGCAGTTCTTCGATTGGCATGTGTTTGCTGCTTGATTGCGTGCCTCGTGGTGACCTTTGCTTATCTGGGTAATGATTGCTGGTGATTGATTGCTGGTGAAGCGATCTTCTGGTCTTTTGTCTCTTTTAGAAGAGTAAAGAAAAGATAGATACTGAATGGCTGCCTATCCCTGGATCAGAGGGATGTGTAACCCAGCCAGTAAATCATATTTAATAAGAAAATAAGAGTTCAGGTGGTTATGAGCTGTTTGCTAACAAATGACTAATATTATGACCCAAATCCTATCTTTAAGTGTCCGTGAACTCAGACTTACTTCTGAGTAGACCCACTTAGTAAATGACACATAATTGCAAAGCTATACGTAATTAAGTTAGTGTCATCGTCATCCTCAGGAATCGTGAAGCCTGATCTGCAAAGCTGATGGGCTGAGAAACAGCCTAAATTCGTAGTACAGTACACCTTGGCTTCAGAACTCATTTTCTGGGGAAATGAAGATTAATGCATCAGCTCTTGCAGGTGACAGGCTGCAAGAAGCCTTAGGCTTTCATCAGAATTATACAAGTATCTGCCAGTTCAGACCTTGTCCCAACGGACCAGAAGGAGACTCCATTGAGAAGAGCTGTCTTACAATACAAGGAAGACTTTGATTCAACTCTACTCTAGTTTCCAACTCTAAATAATACAATGCAAAACACACTGCCCCACATTTTTTTCCTTCATTCTGAACAACTGCTCTAAAACTTGGTAAATATGTTTTATGGGGTTAACTCTGCTTGCAATTCAAATATTAGCTTCCTCTTGCACGGTTGAAAGAATGCATAATCCATCTCAACACACCACCTAAGCCCTAATTAGACAACCTAGGGCAGTCCAGATGTCGCTGTATTACAAGTCCCATCATCCATCATCACCGGCCCTAGCTAAGGAGGATGGAAACTAGAGTTCAACAGCACCTAGAGGATCACACA